TCTCCAAGCATGAGAACATAAGAAAATTCAATGGACTCTTCTGAACGAAGGTACTCAGCCATATTGGTCCCAATCTGAAAAAAGGAAAAATAAATAAAAAAGAAATGGTATAGATTCATTAAGAACTCAAAAATGTGTAAAAGTTAAATATCTTTAGAGCTACCTTCAGAACACCTAAAAAACCTTTAGGAGCATAAAAGACCATAACACAGCAAGCTATCAGCATTAGTTAACCACTGACCATGGCCTTGGCACTATGCTTAGAAAATGTCCGTCGAACATATACAAAAGTAATATTTAAAAATTTAACGTTATCCTTTCCAAGCTCCTTCCGATGACGATGTCACGCGCGCTTTCCCGTCCACTGAGCAAGAGATCGGCCGTGAGGTGGAGCACGGCCGTCGCTTAGTCGTTAGGTAATCTCAGTTCAACTGACCGAAAGCCTAAAATTTGCGTGTATATATATTATACAGTAAAGCAAATGTTTTATTTATTATGAACATTGTTAAATACACACTGAATAACTTACGTTTCAGACAGAATTTCACTGGCTTCCCTCTAAAGACGGCGCAAAACTCCGTCAATTCTCGCTGATGTCCCTGGATGTTGACGTGACGTGCGTGCTCTGTTTCACGTCCGCGTTCCCAACCCAGCACTGCTGGATTATAGATCAAGACCGATTTTTACCAAAATTGGGTTAAATCAACCCAATTTTGTTACCCAGCAGTCTCAACCCAGCATTTGGGTTGAAAAAACAACCCAGCGTTTTTTAGAGTGTAGTCAAAATTAGATGCTGTAATGCTAATCACCATTGTCATATGGCATCGAAATATAGTCAAAAAGAGCCATAACTTAATTAACAGAAGAACCTGCAACTAGATTTAAAGCAGTTTATGCTGATAACTACACATTTAGCCACAGAAAGATTGTTGGGACATTCGCTCTGGAACGAAATACAGTGGTACCTCAGAACTCGAAATTAATCCGTTCAGAACTCCGGACCGAATCCTAAAAAGTTCGAGTTCTGATCGAATTTCCCCCATAAGAAATAATGGAAAACCAATTAATTGGTTCCCGGCCCCAAAAAATTACACCGAAATATGTTTTTTTTTTTTTTTGCATTTGCCAAAATGAACCAGACGAAACAAGAAAAGCATATACTGTACTAAACACATCTAAGCACATTTATCAAAACGGTCATTTTTTTAAAGTAAGAAAATAAATGTATACAAACAATGTGTCATGCCCCCCGCTCCTTCCGTGTGCCACGCCCCCTCGTTAACCCTGTGTGGAATCCCCATGTGATCAGCTGTTTCTGGTTGTTGTCATTAGTCCTCTGTATTTCG